TTTAAAGTAGGGTTAAAGTTTGTATTAAGGTTAGTATCTATAGTAAAATTGCTCAAGAAAAATTTTTGTTAGTGTACAAAAGGTAGTTTCTTATGCAAATGTTCGAGAAATAAACGATTTTTGAAAAAACAAAAGTTTGTTTTGATCTTTGTGATTGTGCTATATTATACTAAATTTTAACAAATTTCTGACTTATCATTGGACAATTCGTAGAAATATGCATTTCCTGCAGGAGATGCCTTAATAGTTTATTGTTTATTATTATAAGAACTGATGCAATTTTACTTTATTATAATAGCAAAATTCTAACTTTTAAACTTGTAATATAATTTTTAATATAAAATGTGTTAAAATTTTATTAGATAATAATTATATATTATTTAAATTATTTGACAAGATATTTTCTACTTAAAAACAACTATAAAAGTTTAATATATAATATTATTCTAAAACAGTATATTATTTATTTCTACAAACTGTTATTTCCCATTTTAAAGAATTTGTCATAGCAGTAGAACCTTCTACACTTCCTAGAATTTGAAGACTATAGGTCAGATTTGCAGAATTTGCTATTGGATGTTGCAAATATATATTGATATTAACTAATTCTTTGGCAATAAGAAGATCTAAAAAATGAAGTGCTTCATCTTTAGTTTTCAATATTTTTTTTCTTAGAAGTTTATAAAGTTCAAATTCTTCAAATTCCTTATGATCTAATTTAATTTGACAAAAAACCTGACAAATATCTTTTGGATTTAGAATTCAATTATTTTTATCACCAATTTCACATACATAATCTACTATTGCTAACATATGTATTACATCATCTATTATTTTTACTTTGTTTTTTTCATCACAAATTTTACGTAAACAATTATCAACAATTATCACAAATGCCACAAGAATCTTCAAGTAGATCTTCAGTCCAAGCAAAATAGTTTGCTAGCATTTGTTGGCGACAAGTATAGATCTCTTGACAATAATATATTACTTCAAAAATTTTTATTGTGTATTCATGAAGATATTTCTGTCTTTTATTTAAATTATTCAAGTCTTTAGAAGAACTAAATTTGTCAAATACCAATTGTTAAATTAATTATTATTTTTAATTCAACAGTATTGTTCTAAAACAATACCCAGAAATATTATTTTTAAGATTCACAATTTAACTAAATATAAACAATAAACTAACCTTTTTCAAGAATCAGCAATTATATTATATATAGTGCAAATATTAGTTCGACTAAAAAAAATTACTGCATATACTAAATTTCTATTATATGCTGCACGGCCTATTTCTTGCATTATATTAGCTGATTATAAAATAAAGTTAATTATTTTATTTAATAGCATTTATACCCTAGTCATTATATTTTGCAAATAATAATAATAGTTAAATCTAAATTTGTAGCTATTTTCATAATTTCTAATTTGCTAAGTAATTTTTTAGCTAATTCTATTCGAGTACTATTAAAAGAAAACTTATTATTAGACTTTTAATATTTGTATACAGCTAGTTATTTATAAAAAAATATATCATTATAATAGATTTCTATAGATAACTAACTATACAAAAAATGTAATTGAAAGTTCAAACTAGATTTCTTTTAATAACACTTATTTAGTAATTCAGTATAATATATTTATAAAAAGATATTTATATAATTAGCAGTTTAAATTAATTTAATTTTATATTATTTATACAGTTTAAAATACTTTTTAAAAAAATAAAACTATTAAAAATAAACAAAAAAATATATAAAGTTTTAATAAAG